ATTTAAATTTTTGTAATTGATTATTAGTATTAATTAAAAAATTTATGAGCAAATGGTTTATTTTTTTAGGCCTAGTGGGGAGCATAGTTTTGGGGATAAGGTTCTCTTTTATAAGGATTTGGGTTATAAAGTTATGTATAAGAACTTTAATGAATTGGATTTAGGTAAACAGTTGATTACTGTGGGAATATTATTAATTATGTATTTATTGATTATTATATTGAATTTGTTGGTAAAAAGGGGTACTGCGGTACTGTCAGGCATGTATTGCATTTGGAAGAAGGACACTGCGGTGTCAGATGTTTATAAAAAGAAAATGGAAGAAAGGTATTTTAATTTAATATCGGATATTTATGGGAAGAAAATAGCAGACTTGGAAAGTAATCTAAAAGATGTTTTAAAGGAAATCAAGGCTGGAAATGTTGGGGAGAGGTCAGATAGGATCCTCCTGGAAATGAAAGGAATGAAAGAAGCCATCAATGCGTTGATAAAGGAGAGCAAAAGTCCGGTTAAGAGCCAGGTGGGTGATAGAAATATGAATAAGGAATTTAATGATTACGAGGAAAATAAAGGATTGTCGGAAAATAAAAGATTTGTGGAAATGATCATTTGCCATCGTTGCGGATGGCGAGGACATGAAAGGGATACCTGCGTGGTCCCAGAGCAAAGGTTTAAAGATGGATTTCCGTTAAAGAGACCTGAAATGGGAAATGCTAATGTAAAAATGGTTAGCTTAAATGGGGTCCGATTATGTTTTAAATGTAAAAGGCCGGGACATGTAGCTGTGGACTGCAGAGAAGTATCACGAAATTCGTGTTGACTATATGAATGCAAGGTAAATCATATAGGAGTCGGGGCTCCGAGAGTTCGGAAAAATTTGTATAATAAAATATTTAATATTATTAGTCGAAATGAGGAGAATGATAGAATTAAGATAAGAAATCATTCTTGTAGTTTCCCTGAGAGGGAGGTTAATCGATTTAGGTGGGAACAATATCCGAGGAATATTGTCCGTTATTCTCTTAGAAGGGATGTTAAGAATTTTATTTGGGAAAGATGTCCCACAAATCTTGTTAAAAGAAATGTAATTGTCAGTAATAATAATTTGAATTCCGAGTTGAATTTAAGGGGCAATGAGAATGCCAATGAAATTATTATTTTAGATAAAATAAACGCTGATTCTCCGATTAAAACATATGAAATCTTAATGACGGAAAAATTAGATGGACCTGTTTGTGTCCGAGGGTTAGTTTGAAGATTGGAATATAGAAATGCTATTTGACACCGTGGCTAGTATTTCTCTAATGTCGCAGGAGAATTTTTATAAGAATGGGCTTGGGGGTAAACTGGTAAAAGAGGCTATATGTGTCAGGCAGTTTGATGGATCGGAAGTCGTTGTGTTGGGAAAGGCCAAATTGGGGGTTAATCTTAATGATACTATATTTTTCCTTGATTTATGGGTAGTAAAGGAAAATGTTGAGACTGTCATGGGGTGGGATTGGATTACCAAGCTTGGTCCTCCCAATAATTATTGGAATATTTTTAATACTAGTGATAATGTAAGAGTGGATGTTGAAGAGAGTGGAAATTTGGATTACCGATAATAAAATTTGTGAAATTTCGGAGGAGATGATGGAGAAATCGAGTAAGTTGGATTTTAATGATGAGGGAAATGAGAAGCAAATTGTGGCCGGGGGAAAAGAGGATTGGAATAAGGTTAATCAAGCTATTCCTATTCTAGTGAGGCAGTTGGCATTATTTTTGATGAAAAATTAGGTTGTTTAAATGATTACCAAGTTGATGTTCAACTTAGGGAGGGTTTTTCACCGATCTTTTTGGCTTGTCGGCGAGTTCCTTTCGAATGGAGGAAGGAGATCGATGAGGAATTAGATAGATGTGTGAAGGACGGCATTATTATTCCAGTGGGATATAGCGAATGGGCAACCCCGTTAGTGCCTGTTAAAAAGGCAAATGGTAAATTGAGACTTTGTGCGGATTTCAGGGTCACGGTAAATCGATGGGTGGTGGAGGTTAAATATCCATTGCCTTTGAGGAGATTTTAGCTCAGTTGAAGGGTGCGAAATATTTTTCCAAGGTGGATTTTTCGTCGGCGTATTTGCAGTTACCTTTGAGAAAGGAAATCCGTAAATTATTCACGATAACGACTCCAAAGGGGTTGTTTGCGTTTTGTAGATTACCATTTGGGTTAAGCGTATCTGCTCCCATTTTTCAACGGACCATGGTGTCAGTTTTTCAAGGATTGGAAGGAGTATTTTACTATATGGATGATGTGTAAATCACTGGAGTGAAGCCGGAGCAGCATAATCAACGCTTGGAGGAAGTGTTTAGGAGAATTCGTGATAAAGGCTTGAGAGCTAGTAAGGAGAAAAGTGTTCTGGGGGTAATGGAGGTTGAATATTTGGGTCATCGGATTAATGGAATTATGCCTCAAATAAAGGAGTTGGTGGTGCGTTATTACAGGTAATAGAGGACTTGGAAAGACCCGTATTTTTCTCGCGTGTTTTTCGTGAGGTGGAAACCAGGTATTCTGTGATTGAACAGGAGGCCCTGGCTGTAATTTTCGGGTTGACAAAATGTCGTGAATATTTGATTGGTAAAAAATTTGTAATTTTTACTGATCACAAGCCGTTAATTCACTTATTTCGGAAAAACAATCGGGAGTTAATGATGTCTCCCCGGTTACAACGTTGGTTGTTGTTGGTGGGCAGCTTTAACGTGGAGATCCGATATCGTCGCGGTAAAGAGAATTGTTTGCCTGATATTTTGTCCCGATTAGGATTAAATGAAGGAAATGATGAAGGGAACAAGGATAAGGTTCGAAACAGTGAAAAGGCCCTGGTTTGTTCGCTTTCGCATATGCTCAAAGGGGGTCCTACCAATTGGGAGGATCTTAAGTTGAGTACATTGAGAGATAGAGAAATGACTAGGATAAAGTTATGTGTAATGGGGAAAAAGACTTGGGAGGAGGATTGTAAAGTTTTTAAAAAGGTGAAGGAGGAATTGTCTGTGGTAGATGATTGTTTAATGAGGGGTAATCGTGCCGTAATTCCGTTCAAATTATAGGGTAAAATTTTAAATTTGTTACATGCTAGACATCAGGGTCAAGGTAAGATGAAATCGTGGGCCCGTGAATATGTTTGGTGGCCGGGTATGGGAAAAGATATTGAAAATATCACAAGGAAATGTGAGCCGTGTAATTCATGCGCGGTGATGCCCCGAAAGGAGGTGGGTCAGATATGGCCCAGGTCGAGAAAACCTTGGGAACGCTTACATGTTGATTTTTTCGATTTAGACAAAAGGTCGTATTTTTTAGTAGTAGATTCGTATTCGAAATGGATAGAGTACGAGGAGGTACATGGATATACCACGAAAATTGTTGTAAGGAAATTGAGGGCATTAATGGCCAGGTTCGGATTGCCGGATACTATTGTATCTGATGGAGGACCTGCCTTTGTTAGCGAAAATTTCAAGCAGTTTTGTAAAGAGTCTAGGATTCGACACATTTTGACCCCGCCCTATCATCCCAGCTCAAATGGTCAAGCTGAGAGGATGGTAGCAATTGTTAAGAATTGGATAAGGAAAGCCGGCAGGGGGCGTATTTGGCCCAGTTGAATTACCTCAATTCCAGGAATAAGGAGGGAGTGACACCGGCTGAATTGTTTTTGGGCCGGATGACTAGGGTTCCCCTAGATTTTCTAAGGGCCGAGAGTCACGAGAAGGGAGTTTTGGAGGACCGAAAGATTAGGTTTGAAGTTGGAGAAAAAGTATGGACTCGTTTGTTTGACGGGAGGGGCAAGAAATGGGCCAAGGGCATTGTTGGGGTAAACAGAGGTTCAAAGTTGAATTTGATTCAATTGGGCGGCACAGTTATGTGCCACAATGATCATATACGACCGCGGGAGTAAATCTGAGGTACCTCATATGATAATATAAATATGAAATTATATATATAAATAAAATGAAGGTGCATCCCGAAGGATTAGACTCGTTTCCGAGCAAATATATAATGTGTAAATGAAGGTTTGGGTAACATATTGTATGTGGGAATGGGAAGTTAAAGGATCAAATAGGAGAGGGGCTCATCTTAAAGTGGTAAATATATATATTTATGCAAAGTTAAAGCATAAAGGAGTAAAATGTACGTGAACGGTCGGTAACCTTTTTGTTTGAGTTTATGTATTATTATATGATGGTATTAGAATATGATGGTATTAGAATTTATTGATAGATGTTTATGTAAAAAAGTGAAATTGAATAAGGAGGTTATCTCGGTAATATTACGAGAAATTGAAGTATATGTATGTATATGTAATGTTAAGTTAAACTGGTTTAATGTTCCGGCTGTCGGTAATAAACAAGGAAAAAAGATTGAAATTGTGGTAATATATGTATTGTAAATGAATAAAAGTGTAAAAAAATAAAAGGAATAGAAAAGTTGTAATTCATTTTGTGAATGCATTTTTGTTCATAGCCTTATAGGATAAATCACGGTTGTTGAACATTGGTATTGGTCCTGGGAATATATTTTTTTTTAAAAAAAGATATAATTAATTAAAAAGTTTTTTTAAAAAAAATTTTTTTTTTGGTTAGCACGAGGAATTAAAATTAAAAAGTTTTGTTTTATTTTTTTTCTCCCCCCTTTTTCTCTTGTTTATAATTTAATGGCTGTGTATGTTCGGAATACCGTAAAAGGAAATAGGAAAAGTTTTAAAAAGTGTTTATTTAATTTAATTTTTATTTGTAAAAGATTTTTTTTAAAAATTATAAATTGTTTATTTTTTTGAAAATTTCCCAATTGAAAATTATATGAAAAAATTTCGAGTGGTTTCAAGTATACCAATTCACAAACCACGATCCCCAATGACCATCTAATGACATACGTAGGACGTATATGTAAACAAATGAAAATCAGCCACCGACATATGGGATTAGACGGAAAAGATGTTATAATTGTCAGGGCGAGGGTCATCTTAGACATCAATGCACGCAACTACTGAGGGATCGTGTACCTATGGGGGTGTTATCGGGGAATCCGCGGGTAGAGCCACATGAGGGACAAAAGAGGATATATAACGAGATGAATTTGGGGCAGCCGACAACTTCCGTTCTTATAGGACCGGCCATACCTACTGATAGACGTCCTCCGAAAAGACAAAATTATAATGATGGAGTGCAACAATTGGGGGAATCTCGCGGACATAGAGAAGGAGATGTGTTGCAGAGAGCTATGGCCACTATAGCCACAGAGTTCTACCGACGACTAGCGCAGAGGATTTTTGGAGCAGTCCCATGTCGGCCTAAGGTGACTATGTATGGGAATATTCGTGTAACATTAATGTAAGCATGAACGTTAATTTTTTTTTCTCGCAAATATAAATAGATACATGTAAAAAAATTTTTTGGGTTTACCGACATGCCCTGATCCCATAAAGGGGTGGCATGTCGTACTTTTAAATACGTTTACATTTTATATTTTTTTTTACGCGAAATGCCAATCAACCGATTAAAATAAGGTGGATTGGATAAAGAATTTAGATGTAATAATATATGTTGATATTATTTTTTTTGGATTCATTAATTTTTTTTATAAAAAATTACATATATTTTTTTTTGTGAATTAATTTGAGATATTTTTGCTAAAAGATTTATTATTTGTTGTGTGAAAAGTATTAATAAAGAAAATAATTCGTGAAAATTTAGTGTGTTTAATTAATTATATATAAGAGCATTGATTAAGTTTCTGCTTTCTGATTTTTGGGGTTTCGTATAGTTTTTCTTTTCCGTGACAGTAGTTTTCTTTTTCAGTTATTTTTGTTAGTTGTTTGGTTTTTGTTTTAGTTTGTGTGTTTGTTTAGGTTAATTTTTTTAGTCTATAAAAAAACATTCCCTTACCTCTCCACCTCCTTATCTTACTTACTTTCAAACCTTCCGGAAAAGAATATTTGATTTGCACTACTTTATTTTCTGAATATTACCAGATGATTTTACCGAATACAAAACAAAAGAAAATCCAAGACAATGATAATTAATAATTGCTCCACGAGCAATATATGTATAAACATTTCATATATAATATTATAAATATATGTATGAATACAAATAACGTTGAAAATAACTGACATCTCCTATATATAAATATATATATATATGTATATGTATGACTACATATAATGTAGAAGTTAACTGACATCTCGTATCTAAAATTATATATATGCGTAATTGTAAAAGTACAAAACACAACATGCCCGCCCTTCAAAAAACCCGGTGTTACATTATCCCAAAAGTATTATTATTATTTTTTTAAAATTTATTGTATACGTTCGATTCATTTTCATGTAATTTTGCCCCTTTGCTTCATCTCTCATCGTTTATTTGATCATGCTCACATCGTTCCATCATTACGTTCGAGTCATAGCTCTTGATAATAATTTTCGTCTGAGTCATAGCTCTTGATCATTATTGCTGCCACACTTCCACTATCTGTATCCTCCAACACATCAGGGGTCAAATGAGACATATATTATGTATATTACTTTCTCAAAATAACAATCAAAACATTGAATCTTTTCAAAAAAATATATGAATGGTAATATTTTATTTGAACGTACCACTGAAATTTAAAAAAAAAAATGTATGATACAATAAATTTCATTGTACAAACAATAACAGATATACAAATATGTTATTGTTACTTAATAAATTTTAACCCCAATTAGGATACCACAGGAATATGGTAATACAAGAATTAAAAAGCTACATATCAAAATGGGCTCAGAATAATTCTTACCCAACTTACAAAAATATTTTTGGATAATGCAAGGAAAACAACAATATCAACATATCATTTCATTGAAGATTAATATATATGTTATTAATGTGATGGTGTATCTCAATAAACTCTTGGATTTTAAAAATAAAGTGCAAAATATTTCACTCAATTATTAACATTGGTTGAAATATTAAAATATATGATTGTCTGACATAAACATAATGAAAATATTTATTACAATCTAAAATTTAAATTTTGAAACAAATAAAATAAGTATCAAAAATTGTTACATATTTATTGTGAAAATAAAATATAAAAAAAAAATCTATTAATCATGCTAATATCATCACCAATAATGTTCAAAAACAATGCAACCTGTAAATGGATCCCTTCTCACATTTACCCATTGTCCATCCACATTATTCCATAAACTTCATTCAACTCAATAATCTAATCAACTTCTTTCATATACATTTAATATTTACAATGTGAACAAAATATATTTAAAAAAATGTGAGACCAAACAAAAATCTCTTATTGATATATTGAATATATATAATAAAATGTGATGTGTTATAAAACTATGAAAGTATATTTTACAAAATAAAATTAAAAAAAAAAAAACTTGTCCAGTATCCAACTGAAGCCTATGTCCAGTATCCAACTGAAACCTATTTTCTTTTTCACATAATTTGTACACCATTTACAAATTATTTCCTCACATTAAATTTCCAATAATCATCCAAAACATATTGTTACAAAAACTCCGACTCTACCAATTTATGTAACAACATTTGCTTCTTTTTTAAACAAAAATCACCCATATAAAAGTAATTATTTATGTATATATATATATATGTATCTTATTTTTCTTTATTTACATTGCAAGACCCAAATTTATTCCTGCTAATTAAAATCCCCAAAATTCAAATATTAAGTAATCTTTTCTGTCCTGCATATCATTAGGTCCTGAATTTTCCTCTGACAGAAGACCTTTACCTCCATTCAAAGAGTCTTAAGGCTTAAAATAATCACCAATAAAACCTATTCCCAAAATATTGTCAGGTAATAGGTATTTGACTATATCTAATGGTAGCTGACACAAAAACTGACACAATAAAGAGTTAGCTGACACGAGATAACAATATCTGTTGCCCCCCCAGGTCTTATGTTGGTGTAACTTATTTTAATTAAATGCAATCCTGCCACCTAGTACCCTTACATACTTTCAATCTTATTATTATTTACTTAACACTTAATCTACCCTACTTCTAAATTCATAAAAATTTACATCTACAGTTCCCCAATATAAAGATATAAATTAAAAATTTTAATACAAATATTAAAATGAACAACTATAGCTCCCCTATAATGTATGAATTAAAATTATTTAAATACTCATTCAAAAATGAAAATACATAAACCTCAAACACTTTGCCCCGTATACTCATATACTTCCACAATTAACATACCATTTTTCTTCCATAAAATCCATAGTACATTGCGTATATACGATTAAACATAAAATATTAAGATATCAAAATATTATTTATTTACCTGTTTACCACGCATTAACCCATACCCTCGGATCCTGGTTCACGGTCAATAACTATAAAAAAACATTCCCTTACCTCTCCACTTCCTTATCTTACTTACTTTCAAACCTTCCGGAAAAGAATATTTGATTTGCACTACTTTATTTTCTGAATATTACCAGATGATTTTACCGAATACAAAACAAAAGAAAATCCAAGACAATGATAATTAATAATTGCTCCACGAGCAATATATGTATAAACATTTCATATATAATATTATAAATATATGTATGAATACAAATAACGTTGAAAATAACTGACATCTCCTATATATAAATATATATATATGTATGACTACATATAATGTAGAAGTTAACTGACATCTCGTATCTAAAATTATATATATGCGTAATTGTAAAAGTACAAAACACAACAGTATTATTAAAATATTTTTTTATAATTCATATCTAAATTTTTAGAATATATTTTACCAAAACAATCAAATAAAGGAATATCACTTCTTAAAGTTTGTAATACCTTTCAAAGCGAAAAGGAGAAATAAAATTGATTTTACTTATTCTAAAGCATTTTTTAATTAAAAATATTGTTTTACACAAGTATCATTTTATGGTTACAGATTAAATCATGGGGAAATTTTCATATATTATTTTTTTTTATTTATTTTTTTTTAATATTTTTTTTTATTTATTTTTTTTAAAATTTTTTATTTATTTTTTTTAGATTGTCTGGATTTTGGTAGAAATTTTTGAATGTTACCTTTTTCTTTCAATTGGCGTATTTTTAGATTTTTTTTTTGATAAATAAATATCGTGTGGATTTTGAAGGAAATTTTTTGATACAATATCAAAGTTTTTTAAATTTAACATTGTATATATGTTATGTTTATTCAAATAAATTGATTAATTATTTAGTATACCTATTTTTATTAAATTCTTAAATATACTCTGTTTTTCTAAATTCTTAAATATACTCTTTTTTTCTAACTTCTTAAATATACACTTTTTTTCTAAATTCTTAAATAAATATACTCTCTTTTTCTAAATTCTTAAATATACTCTTTTTTTCTAAATTCTTAAATTTACTCTTTTTTTCTCAATTCTTAAATATACTCTTTTTTTCTAAATTCTTAAATATACTCTTTTTTCTAAATTCTTAAATAGACTCTTTTTTTCTAAATTCTTAAATATACTCTTTTTTTCTAAATTCTTAAATAAATATACTCTTTTTTTCTAAATTCTTAAATATACTCTTTTTTTCTAAATTCTTAAATAAATATACTCTTTTTTTTCTAAATTCTTAAATATACTCTTTTTTTCTAAATTCTTAAATATACTCTTTTTTTCTAAATTCTTAAATATACTCTTTTTTTCTAAATTCTTAAATATACTTAAGATTTTTTTAAAATTTAAAAAAAAAAATAAATAAAAAAATATATAAAAAAAATAAATAAAAAAAAATAATATATGAAAATTTCCCCATGATTTAATCTGTTACCCATTTTATTTCTCTTTTTCTCTGTCCCAAATTCAAGCAATTACGTATGTAGTCAGGGACAGATCGCAAAATGACGGAAAACTATATAAAAGATTATATTAAATTACAAGAGGCTCAGGAAGTAAATGAAATACCATCGACCAGTCAAATTACGACTGTTGTTAAACAAACTGAATCGTTTTATGACAAATGGGGCGATGGTAATTCTAGTAATATGTCAATACCCGATGATGAATATTATAATTACATAAATAATAGATAAAACATTTAAGGTGGATAATTTGTTAGAGTGTTGGGCGGCTCATCAAAGCGAATTTCCAATTTTAGCAAAATTGGCAATTCTTGCTTTAAGTGCAAGCTGTGAGAGGAATTTTTCCACTACTGGAAGAATTCTTGAAGAAAGAAGAAGTAATCTTCAACCTGAAAAGGTAGATATGTTTCTCTTTCTTCATGATTATTTGTGAATTTTTAATATCTTTCTTGAGTATAGGGTTTCGTCAATCATGCTGGTTTTTTACTTTGCAAACTGTCAAATATTTATTGCTTTATTATATTTACCTTGAGTCATGAAAGTTTTTAATCCAACATTTTTCATTATTTTTTTTTACAATATTATATAATACAATTATCTTCTTTTGTTAAAAATTTATATTATAAAATAAATTATATATTGTGCAATTAGATTATATTTTCAAAACACTATTTATTATACATGCATTTTTTTGTATAGCGATTTATTTTTATTTTATAAATTAAATAGTAAATTAAATACAATATATTATATTCTCAAAATATTTTCCATTTTTATAAATTAAATATTAGTTTTATTTTTTTTAAATGTAATATAAAATATAGTATATGACAAATATTATTACCATTTTTATGAATATTAGTTTTATTTTTATAAATGCAATATAAAATATAAAATATAAAATATACTCAAAATATCCATTTTTATAAATAACAGTTTTATAATTTTTATAAATTCAATATAATATTCTCAAAATATTAGCTTTTTACATGTATTTTTTAAATAATAAGCGATAATACTCGCTGAAAAATATGGTAAAATACCTCATAGGTGAATTTTTGTATATACCAGGTCGAATATAATTTAAAAAAATATCCGGGCCGGGCCTTAAATTTTTAAATCCGGGCCGGGCCTTAAATTTTTATGGCCGGGCCGTAAAAAATTTTTTTTTAAATATCCGGGCCGGGCCTAAAAAAATTAAAACCGGCCCGGGCCGTGCAAATGGTACCTCTGCAGGTCTCTGATATATATATATATAATTTTTTATTATAGTAGTTTTAATATTTTTTAATATATATATATTTAATTTATATACTCATATGAAATAAAATAAATTTGGCATTCAACTATTTTTATTTATAATATAAAAAAGCGTTAAAATCTAAAAACAGATACAGTTCCTTTAAATAATATCTAGATACAGATACTTTTATAAATATTATATTATATTTATATATATTTTTAATTTACGATTTCCGCAAATGTAGTTGCATCTTATTATTTATTATTTTTGAGAATTATTTTGTATTGCAATCGATGTTGATATACTCCCCTGTACTGATTTATATGAATGAAATGATGTTGATTTATTATTGGATAAAAATAAAACAGGATAGAAAGAAATTTACAAATTAGACATGTTTTTCGAATAAATATTTAAAATTTATTTTAAAAATATAAAAAAAATTAATGTCTCTCATATATATTATAAACGTTAAAATACTTTTAAAAAAAATTGCGGTAGATTTTTGCGGGAGATTTCCAATTGCGGTAGTTTTGCGGGAGAAAGATGTCTGCGTGTAAACTAAAAAATTGAGGGAGTCCCCTGCTGATGGGGGGAGACATGGCAACCCTGGTGACGAAGCGTCAATTAAAAAAAATTTTTTATCATTACATTGAAAAAATACCTATTATTTTTAGCACATTACTACTTTAAAAAAATAGTATTATTTTTATTACACGTTAATTATTATTTCTATTTTAAAAAAATATACATATGAAGGAAGATTTAATATTGTTTAATTTTAAAATAAATATTTTTAAAAAATCATTTTTGGTATAAATTTATTATTACTTTAAAAATAAAAATTCTGGGGGAAAATATAAATAATAAACCTCATGCTTTTTCGTTGGTTATTTGTATAATATTTAAAAACAAATATGAATTTTATTAAATCGATATAACTTAAACTACAATTCATTATAAATCGCATTTTAGTAATGTTTTTTAAAATATTATCTGTAATATATACATTCCATAACTGACAAATGTGTCTGTAAAAGTGGCATTTTACCTAATGTTTTGTAACCAAATCTATATAATAGAGGATTTAACTATATGTCTTCTTAGTTTTAATAAATAAATTTCTTATACTTGTTTGAACGTTGGAAATATTTTTAGGAAGAGGGATGTAATTAAATTTAAAAATGATTATGAGTGATATTGATATTCCATTTTCACAGAATTTCATTGCAAGCTGACATAGTGAAAATATAATTTATGTGTATTAATTAAATCTAATAATTAAATTAGCACTCATTTAATAAAAATTTATAGTCTTATTAATTTTTAAATAATAAAATTAAATCTATATATTACATAATAGAATTACTAAAGAAATCGTTCAGGGGCAATCAAAAAAATTTATTTTTAGTTCAAGGGGATATTAAGGAGCTATTAAAACATTTTTTTTCAGGGGGCTATTAAAAAATATATACAGATTTATTGAAATGCGAGAAGGATACGCTTTATTTATCTCAAATAAAAAACATTATTTAATAAAATCGCTGTAATATATCTACTTTATCAAAATATAAAAAACTATATTAAAATAACATGCAAAAAAAAATGATGTAAACAATTTAGAATACAAATGTAAAAAATATATAACGGAGGCAAAAATGCTCTCATTGAGATTCGAGGAAAATAAAATAGTTACCTTTAAACGATAAATGTTAAAACACATAAAAAAACATATTTTTATAATAAAACAAGTTTGAAGTATAATAATAGAATATAATAACGAATTTATAATAGGTATATATTGTTTTATATTATCTGATATTTTTTTTAAATATAAATATACATCCATTAGATTATTGTTATATTGTAATAAATTAAATTTATTCTCCTTTCTCGCCTTTCATATTTTGAGTTCGATTTGGATATTGATAATCCAACACTATATTGCTGATATTTTAGTTCCATATTACTTTGAACTATTTGTAATTTATTTATAAATGTATAAATATCCTGGGCTGTTTTTATTGATTTTTTTAGGCCATTATTTAATTTGAAGTTGATGTACCATCAAATCTTCCAATAGAGGTTTGATCTAAAATGTTTTAATAGGAATTTGAAATATTTAAAAATACCAGTATTAATTTGATTTGAAAAAAGGAGCTTAAATATAAACATAAATATTAATTATATAAATACCAGGATTAGTTTGAACTGAAATAATTTGAAGTTGATGCACCATCAAATCTTCCAATAGAGGTGTGATCTAGACTACTCACTCCAGGCATTGCTGCAGGACAATTATTTGTATTTTAGGTTTTAGTAATAAAAAAATGTACAAAATTAATTAATAATATGGATACCTTGATTATTTTGAGGAATCTTGTGGTTTATTTTATCCTCACCACAGTTAGATGCATGCACTTTGGTAATTTTAAAAATACCTTTGCAAAAAACACCTTTGCCATTTCATGAACAACACCTAAAATAAATATTGTGTCCTCTTTTTTTCTCTTTATATTTTTTCATTTTATGACAGTATAATTTTACAATGACTAGAATGCTTATAAGAAATTAAACCTTTAAATATGATATTAAGTAAATATAAAATTTTAATTATTATTATATACCCCTTGTTTCTCTTAAATTTATTAGATTTGCAGAAACTGTCATAATTGGAAGTTCTTCCATATTTGAAATATATTGATCTTAAAATAATACATATGTTGATATTAAGACAATACAAAATATATTATTGTAAATTATGTTTATATTAAGGCAATATAAAATATTATTGAAAATATTAAACTTGAATTGAGATTTTGTAATATCCCGTTTGAAACTTAAAATTTAAATAAATGTCAATTTTTTATATCCAATGGGCATAAAGTCGCAATTATCACAACCAATCATAAAAATGTTGCAATTATTTCTCAGTCGCAATTTTTTTATATGAAAGGTTTTTATATGAAAGTTGGGGAAACGAAATAATTTTGCATCGGCAAAAATGATTGATTTTATAAAAGTGCTGAAACTTAAATTTCTTATAAATCATTTTCTATAACTGCCCTTACATTTATTTCAATCATAAAAAATAATTTAGGTTTAATAATAAATATTTAAATAGTAAATACTGAGCCCGATGATATCAGCCTAATACATTGTTTTTTTTGGTTCTACAATATTGATTTTTCAGCAAGATTCAGAATGCCTTTACGATTATAGACAAACTTTGAAAATAAATATATAAAAATACTGACATTGATAATATTTATCTCATTTGTCCCTTATGTTGTTTTTGGTAAGAAATTCCTAAAATTTATCTGATAAGTTAAAATAATTAAGCAAAATATGTTAGTGAATTCTTTTATTGGTCAGAGCCATTGAATTGAAATTCTTACATATAGCAATGTAAGTAAACCATCTCATCTTTATAATTATATTATTTAAATGTTTTTTTAAGTTTCCTTATATTTAATTTTATGAAATATTATATAATCGGTTTTAATAAAATATTTATTAATAAAAATAAATTTTTTTAATTTTGTTTTGACAATAAAGTCCTTGAACTATAAAAAATTTTCTAAAAATCCGGGTTTATGAAGAATAGCCTGAATTTAATAAACGATCAGCCTATCAATTTTTTTTATTTTTGAAATCAAAAATGCCCAGATACCATTCAGCCAATATCAATACCCAAATCGATATCAATAAAACAAATTTTATCATTCACTGTATTTTCAGCCGTGCGATATTTACAATTTGTATGTGACTAGCCATTCGATATATCCTCCACATGTGACTTTTGTATTAAACGGTGCGAAATTTTAAGATGTGCAATATTTAGTAATAAAGGGTTTATTATGTACTTGGCAGTGCGATATTTCCTAGTAGTGCAATATTTAGTAATTAATGATTTATTATATGGTTAGCTGAACGATATTTCTTATATATACGACTTTACAGCATATGATAAACACAATCATCCTAATGCACAAGTGGAATTGATGAATAAATAAAATATATCAGGTAATATAATTTTTTAAAATAAAAATATGGAAATCATACTTCTTATTCGATATCATACATGATTTCTTTATATGTTTCTAGAACCCTTATAAAGAAACCAAACTATCAAGAGATTAGAATTTATTATATAAAATCTCAAAATTTTGCAAAATATACTATTTATATTTTTTTTATAAGTTTATAACATATACAAAAAATCAATGTCAAGCAATTCATAATTATAATTTTATAACAAACAATTAAATTTAAAATAAATGAATATGCAAAATTACAAACAAAAAACAATGGATTATTATTTTTGGTTAACTGGCAATATTTGCTCAAATGAAGAAATCGATAATATATAAATGATAACATAAAAAATATACATTTGAGAAAGAAGGAATATAAAAATATTAGTCAAATAGATTTTTTTACAAATACCCTGTCGCAGATAAAATACACGAATTTATAAAATAAATTGAATCTACAAATGCTTAGCGATAATTTTTGATTGACTACAAAAAAAATATTTTGCGTTGGATAATGTCTAAAATTTTTAATTGATGTGGTCATTTAAAATGAAATAAATATTAACAATGTTAAATATTTTTTTACTTTAACGAATTTTTGAGAGCGAGTATACAATATTCGTTTTATTTTTAAATTTAATTCAGCTGGAAGCTTAAAATTTTTTTAAAAGAATATTTTCATAATACATAATACAAAAAGTTATTTGGGTTCCCTCATAAACTCCAAGCCATAGGGGAGACAAATATTTTTTTACAAATCCATACTTAATTGTTAGGAGGGATCCAACGAAAATTTTCTTGTGGGAGGGGGAATTTTGAGATACGCTTATGATGATTAATAATTATATAATTTTTGAACATTAATAAGTTTATTATTTTAAAAAAAACCAAATATAAAAAAAAATTATCATTATTTTTTTTAATAGCAAGTAACTTTAGGTCCTCTATAAATTAAAATATAAATTTTAAGAGAATTTATTTCATAATAGCCCTCAAAAATAGAGTAGGGATAACAATTTTAATATTTATATTATATATAAAAGGTAATTAAAAATTGGGCGCTAAACATGCTAAGAGGCGATTATAGAAGCTTTTGCCATTTTATTTATGGCGATCATTTTTGGTATGGTATTAAAGAATATTTGCAAGTAAAGAAATATAGTAAATAATATAAGTAATGCGATTAGCGATTCAAAACCGAATATAGTAAAATATATCAATGCGCCTAAAACATATATACAAACATTCAATAAAACATTTATCTGCAAATTTTTTATCTCCCTATATGTCTGAGTGAACTTTAGATATATGTGTATAGTTTGAGCGCATAGATACATCAGAATCAGGGCTTGAAAGCATAACTCTATTATAAGGTAACCATTCTCTTGGGGGTAAGGAGCACAATATTCATTTATATAAGGCCTTTCAACAATTTTTGAATATTTAGCAAGAGATGTTGATTTACGAATATATTCTATACGAGATACAGAGCTGTTTCCCCTTATAAGATATATTGCTACTATAAAAATCTAAAATATTATAAATAGTGAATATATAAAATAAAAATATAGAGAGAAATTTAAGGTTTCGAATCGAACCGAACCGCGAAACTGGAATTAACCGTTATAATTTTCTGAACCGTAACCGAACCGTTGTAAAGAAAATATAAAAAGAGCTAACCTAACTGTTATTAAATTATTTTAATTGATTTAAACCGGTTTATAACGCCGGTTCATAAGGACGGTTTATAACTGTTTTTAAAAATAATCAATTTTTAATTATTAACCAAAATTTGAAATTTAATAATTTAAATTCGTGATTTCTTTTCAAATTAAAATTTTTACCTAATAGCCATTTTCTTCATATTAATCAATATCAAGTTTATTGTTTTTACTTTATATACTCAATTTAATGGAGATTAGGCTAATTAGTAGTTAATTAGATAAGAAATAATCTTTATGGTTAAATTAAACATGGAATTATAAAAATAAGATTTTTTATATTTTATATAAAATTATATTACTTTTAGGTTCTTGATTGATAAAATTTTCCTATATTTATTATTGTCTAAGGAGTCAAAAAATGTAAGAAATATGCTTTAAATTTTAATAGTAATAATACACAAGAAAGAAATAAAAATTAATTTAATTGCTAAAATTTAAAATAGAATATAACCATTGAAACAGAACATAATCCATTTTAAGTAAAATCCTTTGCACTTCACAATTCATGAAACATTATATATTTTTTTTAAAAATTATGTTGGAGGGGAGGGGAATTTCTCTTCCCCACCAGCTGGCTACGTGCCTCCTGACTTGTTACTTTGTTTTATTCCTATCCTATTAATAAAATCTAATTTTATTATTATATTAATTTGCAAATCTGAACTTTTCCAAGTTAATGAAGCACATTTATGTATCTCTTTTTCTTAATCTCAAAGTTTTTCAAAGATGAAATTAGGCATGATTTAAATTATTTATTATATACGAATCATTGATCTACCTTGAAAATATTTTGAATAATATTTCAGTTAAGGACATGGTTAATCAATTATATTAATTTGCACGATCATGTATGTTAAGATCAGGCGCGTACGCAGCGGGGGTGGGGAGGGGGGGGGGTGGTAGGGGGTCACCTATTATTATTTGTATTTGCCAAAAATATGTATATGTGAATGACTTAGTTTTGTTAATCTGCTCATTTTAGTCAACGGCTAACTCAAATTTTATCCAGAAAAATATAAGGCAATGAAGCTTTTGTTCATAAGGACTTCTATTAGCAAAATATCAAGGCTTAAGGAATATTATATTTTCCTGAATAAAATATTAAGTTAATCGTTTTTATAAATTGGCTCAAATCGAGAAATTTAACAACTCTAAATTGACCCTTCCTGTGATAAAAATTTTAAAGGGAAGGAAGAATGGCGTATAAGATAAACACTGAAATATAGGTTTAACCTGAATACAACATATTAGAATTGCCATGATAAAAGCACGTTTTTCATTTTTAATATCCTTGAGTCCCGGTTTATTTATTTTTAATCGCTTAATTATTATACTCTGTTTACTTGACAAGGCTCCAAAAATGAGAGAAACAGATAACAAGTAAAAGAATAAGATGGCCCCACATTTAGATTTATTGGGATAGGGACTTGTTATAAGAAATAAGGAAATCAATCCAAAAAATATTCCCACATATTGCAAATATAATAATGATCGAAATTCCAATTTGAATGGAGTAGCTTGATAATTTTTTAGATAAAATATGACCATTGATATAGCCAAAATGATGCCTATCGAAGCAAGAACGATTATTAATTTCCAATAATTATAAAAGTCTCTGATATAAAAAATTGGCATGTCTAAACATACGGTCCTATTTGAACTTGGCCATTTGTAAATCGGACAATATAAACATCTCCGAAAATAATTTCTTAACCGATTTGACGGCGTAAAGATACTTCGTCCAATACAGATGTGACATATCCAACAGCATATACTTGAGGTTGTCATTTTATACTCTTCTATTTGACATGGTGCCGAACAACGTGAGGTAGGAGCCGTTAGATCATCGTAGTAAGTGTAATTTTTCCAAATGAAATTCGTTATCAATTTTAATTGGCTCTCGTTTTTCTTATTATAATCGAAATTTCCTGCCGTAATTATTTCATAATTACCTTTGACTTTGAGAAAGTTACCAATTCGTAATGGATTATTTACAGAACGATCTAATCCAAATTTAATTTTACCAGATAATCCATAAAATGATAAATTTTGAATATAATATTTTAAATCGTTATCCATTATGCAATTTTTCAATTGGATTTTATTCATACCATAGCATTTATCCTTTATTAGATCTTCTAAAGAATAAAGTAAAGCCATGGTGGCATCCATGCTTAAAGAAATCCTCTTATCATATTGAATAACATTTGAATTGAACATACTATCGTTTTTTATATCATAAAAAATATTTTTAATCTTAGAAAACCATGAATGATGGATATTAATACTTTCATTATTGTTCAATAACCAAGAGAAAAAATGTGTTGATTCAGTTGCAAATTCAGAAACTATTATTGCCCCTTCAACCATTTTAGCTAAGCCTAGCTTTACTGATTGTCGTGTCGATGGCCATGAATCAATCCCTATGTAAATGAAATCGGGATCGGAATTTGCGGAATGTATTGAATTTAAAACATATTCAAATTGATAATCACTAATAAATAAAAACACAACTCTTCCCCTTCTACTCGTTATCAAAGTTTTAAAAGAGTTTTTCATCTCTTTGCTTGCCTTAATCGTTTTGATCTCTATTTCATGCCAAATACAAAACTTACCCTGAGTAGCTGCTGTATTTAATTGATCTCTGTACCAAATCAAATTTGGTGTGGGGGAATAAATTATTGCTATTTCATTCCATTGAAATAGTCGCAGCAAACTGAGTAATGCATTGAGATATGATATTTGATTTGAAGTTATTCTGAATAGGTAATTGGATCTGTCATAGTTTTATTTAAATGTTATTTTTTAAATGTTGTATTAGTATGTTATAGTGCTAAATTAAAATTAAATGTTATTATCTACAAGGTTTGCTTCAAAATAAGACAAATAAGATAGAGTTTCATTTAAAAAAGGAAACAATCAGATCTAAAAAGAATTTAATTAAATGCTAAAAATATTTATCTAAATTATACAAAGTTGTCCAATTTGTGTTGAATTAGTCAGCTCTAAACAAATCCCCCAGCTGATTAATTATCCAGTTGATATACAAAACAGCCAGATGATATACAAATAGCCAGCTAGCTAATATGCAGATTAGCCAGTTAATTTACAAATTAATCAGCTAATGCACAAATTAGCTAGCTAAAGATTAACCAACTAAAATATAAAATAGCTATCTAAATACAAACTAGCTAACTAATTACAAGATAATATGCAAACTAACCTGCTCATAATTCTTGTTTTATGTATTTTTTTAGGTTTTGGAGTATTTTTTAAAAAATATTTTAGGTTATTTCTCCCTTGAAATAAATGAATATGTTAGCGTTCATTGTATTATATATAAATATCATAAATCTTGAAGAAAATGAAAAATTAAGTCAAATTATTGGAGAAGGACGGGTATTATAAAGGTCGATCAAATGGGGAAAAGTTAAGTTTAATATAAAAATCATTAAAAAATCCCTAAGTTAGAAATACATGATAACGTAAAAATCAAGATATATCAGGCTAAAAATAATTAAATATTTAGTCACTCAACAATGGGAGGTAAAATATACCAATAAGTGAAAATAAAAATAGAAAATACCAAGAAAACGGATGGAAAAATATGGAGGTAATGAAATCGGGAAAAAATCAAATTATTTAACCCTACTTTTTTTAAAAAAATTTATAATACTTCTTTTTTTTAATGTAAAATTTTATTTAAAAACGATTTCAATTAAGAAATAAAATACACTATAAAAGATATATTAAAGTGAAATATGTTTAAAAAAACAAATAAGAATTTATTAATTATATGAAAAATAATATATAAATTCTATAAACATTAAACCTAGAGAGGAGTGAATACTTAGATAAATGGACTGACAGATTTCGAGAGAAATCTGCTGGCGAAGGTAGAATCCTTCGTTGGGGTCACATATAACCTGCCACTTTTATTGCCTATGTTTTGATAAAATTAAGATCCTTAATTCCGAATATGCCTAAGTTTTGGTAACTATTGGTATAAACATATTGTTTGTGAGGCCAGCATATGTTTTTTTTAAGGACTAACTTTTCGATGATAAAAAATAAGAGGTTATTCTTGTTGCAAAATCGATAATCAGGTCATTGGGAAACCTTTCGCCCAGTGGATAAGAGATATACCATCCGTATGCAAGATTTTTCATTTGAAAGGCCCGCTTCAAGAGTGGATGGTATATTAATTTTTTTAAGGCAGCTAAGAGAATGTTGATAATAGATTTATAGCGGGGCTGCCAAAGGGGAGACTTTGTGCAAGAGATGGTAGACATTCGATTTGATAAACTAACCATACTTCTTAAATGAAATAATTTTAGTTTAAATTTTATTCTACAATGTATTTATAAAAATAATAAAAATTTCAATTGGCATCTATGGGGGCAAGAATTCCAAAATAATAATATTATGAATAAAAATCATAGCATTATAATAAGCATTATCAGATTCTATGTGCCCAGCATAAACACTAAAAGATAAAACTTTTATAATTTAGTCAAAAATTGTAATACAAAAATGGCGGAAAATTGTAATGTCAAATTAGCTTATGGGACTTTAAATAGTTAAAGAGAAAAGGGAAGTTTAAAAAAAAACCCAATACTAAAAGGGAGAAAATCTTTAAAAATTAATAAAACATTCCAATACTGTAATTTTTTTTAGTCAGTTTGTATATTAAATAGCTATTTTCTCAACTAACTAAGCCTCAAGTTTTATAAACTAGCTTAACTTCTAGCTAATTTGTATAGATTAGCTTTAACACATATATACCATATTATGTACACATTACAGTTATATCTATAATAACAATATTCGCTTTATTTTGAAATAAATTTTAACTCGCTATTTTATTATTAAAACAAAATATATTTTAATCCCCCGTTCATAGCTAAAATCTATTGTATTATCATTATGAATAAAAAATTACCCCCTTCCTCTAAGTTTCACAGAATTCGCTTCAGGGCTGATATGTGGCAATTTGTAATAGGATAATAATGGCGATACGTAAAGTGCGCGGTGGCTACTTATGGGTCCAATCAAACCTACCAAAGAAATTTGGTACCTGATATCGTTTTTAATTACGCATTGAATCTAACAAATATTTAACATTGTGAAGTAACTATTAATTTTTTTTATAATATAATATATTTGAAAAATGAAAAAATATATTTGTGATTTTTTTATTAGAAGGGAGATGTATGGATGACCAGCACCTCAAAATCAATTATTATTTTACCCAAAAGGAATTAAAAATGTAATAATTTTATTCTATGAAGAGTATTATATTTAAAATTAAAAATTAAAAAAAAAATGACAAAGACAAAGACAATATTATACATAAATTAATCATTTGCAAACATTTAACTAAATTTACTATCAGGATATTATATTATGTTGAATATTCTATTCACACTCTAAAATTAATATAATATTAAATTAATATAAACAATTTACATAATTAATCAAGCAATATGAATATTATCATAAAATAGTCTGAAATATAAGGATAGGTAGTTTTAATGAAATAAAATTGGAAAATATCAAAATAATCCTTTGAGTGCAATTTTAAATTTGAAAATCTTATTTTCCGGAAATAAGTCCCAATATGTGCAAAATACCTATCTAATTGAGACAATTTCGTCATGGATTTTTATTTTATAAGAAAAATAATTAAATGTTAAGAATTCACATAGACTCTATAATGCTGCATCACTGGTAAATTTATATATATCAAATTTAAAAATGATTTATAATTGAAATTTCAAATAGAATACGTCCAAAAAGATATACATAATCTTTATTTTTTATATATTTTTATTACACTGGTATAATTATTTTGAGTCAAGTTCTATATTATACTATCTGAAAAATTAATTTATTGTATATTAGAACAAAGAAATTATTTATATAAAACTACTGAAGGTAATTGTGATGGATAAAACATTTTCGTCAATTTATTTTCTTCATTTTGAATAAATATTTTCATAACTTCTATTTTGCTACTTTTGCCCATTTTAAGTTACAAAAAATTACACTGTTTATAAAATAAAAGTTTTTCTAGGTATAATATAATTATATCTTCTTTTTCAATATAAACTAGACTAAAAGTAAATTTTTAATTTATTTAATAAAAAATAATATTTCTTTTGAATATTTAATTATCATATCCCATTCAAAATTAATTATCTATTGATATCAAAGATTAGTAAATCTATCAAGTTAATATTTAAATAACAACAATATTCTTATTTTATTAGCCAATACTATAAATTTGAATATTTAAAAATTGGTGCTTATTATTAATAAGATATAACTGAATATTTTGTCTTACTTGGGCAGTCGCAGCATTAGAACATGTAGGCACGATGAAATAACCAATACTTATGTTGTAAGAAGGTAGGAACAATTTTTGATTTAACATTTCTATAATATAAATCATGCTGTAGGATTTAAGTAGGGATAAAGAGTTTAATTCATTCGAGCACATATAGTGCGGATCCGGATTTTTTTTGTAAATTTCATATAGACCGCCTACATTGATATCATTTAAATTCATCAATTGGGTCATAGGAAATTTTTTTAGGACGATATTATTTACAATACTGCACATTATTAACAAAATGACGCATATCCTTAAAATTGGCATAATAAGATAGAAATTTTTTTTCCTACAAAATTTATATAGAATGGCAAATTATTTTTACTATCATCTAAGTAATCTTAAAATTGTTATAATAGGAAACGAATCAATAATAACAAGCTAGGTTATGTATATTGGAAAAAAATAAATTTGTATTTATCAAAATTATATTTAATTGGAAATCTTGTTTTTATAATTAGTGATCATTTAAATTATAGTCATAAAAAAAAATAATACCTACATAAAAAAATGTTATTCTGCTGCATATTGATTTATCTTCATTTAAAATTTTTTTTAAAATGAATTATTTTAAAATTATATTTTATAATAAATTATACCCGACTTGGTAGTAATAAAACTTCTAATATGCTCTGTGGAAAGGAGGGGGGTGGGGGCGATAATAATATTGAACATTATTAGTTTTTTATGTGTTTTATAATAAATGATAGAGAGCATATAGTAAATTTCTCATATATACTGAAAAATTTCAATTTTGGAATGGTTATGGCCAGAGAGTTAGAAACCTGGACTAAGAAAGCATGACAGTCGTTTTGATCATAACTCAAGATAGATTCTTCTTTTGAAATCAACCTCCAGAAAAAAATAGGGTAAGGATTAAGACAATGATATGGGGTAGAGTTCATTAAAAATAGGTACATCATCCCCATCTGAGCAGGGGTGGGGAGGGGAGAAAGGTGTAATGACCTTCTTTCATTAAAATAAACTACTATCTTATAAATTTAATGTAACCTGAAAAACTCTTTTTTTTTAGAGATTATACAAATTTTTTATTTATTTTAAAATAATATATTTAATTTTATTTTAAATCTATTCAACATTATATAAAAATATGATAATAGGAAGACCTCCGGAAAATAAAACTTGTTGTTACTTTAAATCATCATATAATCTACAAAAAAATAATTGGTTAAAAGCTTCTGGTGTTCTAATATAGTTGGATTTCACTTATTAAAATAAATGCCTGCATAAAAAAGGCTAATATGTACCCCACCAAAACTTTTCATAGGTCTTCACATTTAATTAAAAGTTAATTTCAGGATATTAAATTAGCATAAATATTGTCAATATTTTAACACCAGATAAAATTGAGGATAGTTTATAATTTCGAATTGATATTTAGACTGAGAACTTTCTTTTATAAAAAAATTTATCAGTAAAAATTTATAAAAATTTTAAAATTACTTTTGATGTGTTAAAATTTAAATTTGCATTTAAATATTTTCACGAATAAATTTTTGCAAAACATTTTTGTATTTTGGGATCATTTGGAATGTTCTGAGTCACCATATATTCTATATTAACTTGCCAGTGTATCTTATTTAAATTTTTACTATAAATATGAAATATTGTAAAATAGAATATGTAAATGAAAAGCTAAAGTAAATATTTATTGATAAAATAATTAACACACTTATTTATTATAATTTAACATTAGTGGTCTGCATCGTGACAAATTCTTTAAACCCGGCCCGGTCCAAATTTTTTAATTTTTTTTCAAAAAAATTGTCCTGCCCGGCGATCACGAAAGAAATTTTTTTTTATTTGTCTCAAAAAAGCCCTCCCCGAAATAAAAATAAGAATTATTTATCCACCCAGCCTGGAATTTATTTAAATATAGAAAAATTTATCCTTTTTTTGATTGTAAAAAAATATTAGAGCCTTGTTTCTTGCAAGAATAAAATTTATTAATTTGTTTGACAAAATATGATTGTATCATATTTAAGAGATTTAAGCCTGACTCGGTGTAGGTGTGAAATCAATACCCTTTGTAGCTTAAATACCGTATTGATATCATTATAGATTCAATCGTAGTGATATTTTTATATTGTAGAATCAATACCGTATTGATTTTTAAGAGATGTTTTCATCGCGTCAAATATATTGGCGGCCATTAATGTAAAATATTTATTCATTATATATTTTTTCATTCAAATATATTGACGGCCATTAAAATTGTAAAATATTTATTATTATATATTTATTCATTGCTTCAAAAATATTGACGGCAATTTTCGATTTGTAAAAAATTATTTATGTTAAGTGCTCTATAAGTGTTGATTAAAGTTTTATAAATGATATTATGAATTCAAATAAATTGAATGTACCTTATTGATTGAATGAGAATCTGTAAAATTTTGTGATGTGCTAATCTATAATTGTCGATTCATCTATAAATGTCGATTCAAAGATTTGTAAATTATATTTTAGATTTTATTCGTAAAAGTTGAGGTTCGATCATATATTATCAATACGGTATTGATTTTACAATACTACACCAGCCCTGTCCAAAATTTTTTAAATTAGGCCAGACCCAGTGCAGATATATAACTAACTAACATCTCAATTTCACAAAAAGATACATCTATTTAACAATAATATTCTTGTTTTCACTTAAAACCTGGCCAGACAATAATTATCATCTATTATTATTAAATAGAATGTTTTAGATTATTAATAATATATTTTATTTTAAAAAAAACTGTAAAATTTTTTTAAATTTATCTAAATAAAATAATAATGTATTGGTTTGTCTTATTTCCAAACAGTCATCTGTTTATCTATCTATATCGCTCTAAACAGCCTAAAAAGAAGGAGGCCATTTAACCGAAAAAATATATAATAATAAATAATATTTTTTACTATTCCCCAAACTATCGATTTAAAAAAAATTACCCATCCATCAAGCATATTACATTCTCAAAAACGCCCTTTTAATACCACAAATCCAGTATTGTTTAAAAACTTCTGATGCCTTCTCTTTTGAAATTCTTTTAAAAGAATATGAACAAATTATACTACAAATAATGACAGAGTTATTAAACATCAAACTTGATTCTAACTTCAAGCAACCCTCCCTTGTAAATCCGGAGGACTAGGCCTAAGATCGGCATTTATAGCCCTTGTTTCCTTCATCTCATCAACCTTATCAATAAAAAATATTACCTCGCAAATTATTACCATCGAAAGATAATTTATTAGATGAAGCCTTACGTTGTTGGAATATATGTCTGAAACAAAAAGATTGGGATCAAGGATTGGTATCTCGTTCCTTAGCTTACCTCAACTTGAGCGATGATCACCAATATAAATCCCTCCTAAGATCTCTTAATTTCAACAACTCTGGCCATGAATGGTTAGATTCATATCCCATCATTTTAAATAACCATACTAATAGATAACGACGCTTTTCGTTATGCAGTCAATTTACGCTTGGGCGTACCTTTCCTAAACCATTATATTTGCATTAAATGCAATCAATCGGAAGCCGCGTATGGGAGACACGCTCTCCATTCTAAATTTATATCAAAAATCAGCCGACATTATAAAATAAATGCAATAATAGCTTCTTTTTTAAATAAAGCCAAATTTTCCCTGTATTTTAGAACCTACATCCTTTTTAGATAAAAAACGCCATGACGACAAAACCGTCGTACCTTTTTTCATGGGAAAGCCTTTAATGTGGGATTTTACCTGCATTGATACCATGGCTCCATCTAATAATTCCCATGATCCCCTTAACAGAGCCAAATCTCTAAAAAATATAAAATACTCACACCTAATGTGTGATAGCCACTTTGTTCCCATAGCAGCTACATCAACCTGCTCTTTTGGGCAAGCGGCTTTAGATCTAGTCAAAATAATATCCAAATCAATAAAAAAATCATACCTTTCTCCATTTTACAAACTCAAGCAGAAAATCTCCGTTCTATAATTAGATCTAATTATCAAATATTTAAAACATCATGGCCTGACCTCGCCATTTGATATTTTTTTAAAAAATGTTTTTTTCTTTTTATAAAAATATACATTTGTATCAATCTTTTTTTTTAACTTAAACTGATATATGACAATTATATTCTCTATACTATATGTTAATTTTTAAATAATAATATTTTATCATATTTGTATATGAATTTTAATAAAAAATTGATTTTAATAATAAATAATATTTACTTAATGTACACATTCTTTATTTCCTTTAAATAGGATGTTCTAATTCAAATTATAATTAGCCTAGGCTTAACAGAAATAAGTTTCAAAAATAAGACAAACCAGAACCTAAAATTTCTAAATGAGATCTAATTTCTAAATAAACGTGTGCTACACTTTCAAAAGAGGTTGCTAAATCTCCAGCTAAAGGCGTATCTAGTCCTTTCTTATTTATATTTTAAGTTAGCCTTTACGTTTAACTTACATGTTTATATCATAGTAATTTATTTTGTAAAACGATTAAATTCAAGAATAACAAAATAAATCAAAAAAACTTTAAATACAAAGAATATAATATTTATAACAAAGATAAATTATTTTTAAAATAAGACAAAAAAAATATTTCGGGCTGGCTTGTATCCTTGAGGGATCGTAAATTGGATCTGCAAATCTCCAAGTCTATTTTGTGATATCTCTCCACTGAGGTAAAAAAAATCTTATATTCTTTAGGGAGGAAGTGACAGAATTTGATTAAATTTATTGAACTAATAAATATTTAATATTTGAAGGAAAATATTATTACAAATGTTTGCTTAATTCTAAAATAAACTTACAGTTTCAGAAAGTAACATAAATTTAAAGATCAGAAAAAGCAACATAGATAATAAAATCCATGAGTGAAACTGAAAATACATATCTTGTATAGTTTCTGAATTTCAAAATTGTAGTTTAATATAGTTATATAATTTAAGTCATATTTTATAAACTAGAATAAATATTTAAAAATTCTTGAAAAATTATCACTAATGAAAGAGAGGATAATAATTAAGGAATAATAACAAATTCTGCTATGAAGTTGTTAAGGTGCGGCTGAAAAGGTACCTGCCATCTTGTTTATGGCAATTATTTTTGGTACAATATTAAATAATATTTGCACGTAAAGAAATAGTATAAATATGATAAGTAATGCGATTCGC